TACAGTTCATTAGTAACATAGTTATTCTTCTACTTGTGCAAACGAAATTCTAATAAACATAAATATTTCACAAAATATTTAGTACGAACATAAATAAAATATTATTATATTAAAAACTATATATAATATACTTACTCCTCTTGTCCTATTTATAAGGCAGAGAAAAAAGATTATTTTTTATCCTATTTATAGGGCACTGAAAAAAAAATTGTGTGGATGTCCAATTTTACCCTTCATTTATTATTGTGTTAACTTTGTTTATATGAGACATAATGTATATTAAATATGAATAAAATTAAAAAATTATTGAATTTTAAACGAGAGTTAATGAAGTTTAAGGTTTTTTTTTCCCTGTATATCAAAAGAGAATCCTTACATTAGCCTACTACGGCCATGCAACGTAGAACGATCAAAGTCTAAAATTGGTAGTAAAGCATCAGGAGCTGAAGCAAGAAAATAGAACCCAGATAGAGCCTTCAGTCCCTCCTTCGCCAATAAATCAGCAGCTCTGTTGTTATCCCTGCTAACAAATTGCATTGTCACTTCCCATTTCCAGCAAAGCATTCGCCGTGTTTCTTTGAGAACACCAAAGTCAGCATGATGTTCATCTGGTTCCATAGCAAGAAGGTCCAAAGCAGTACTGGAATCAGATTCTAAAATAATTCGACGAGAGCCAGCATCCCACCCGAGTTTGACTCCATGTAAACACGCCCATAGTTCAGCATGAAGGGCATCCCCATCATCGAGTTTATGAATAAAACCCCGAAGGAATTGGCCATCAGCGTCTCGAAGGAGGCCTCCACATGCAGCTGTACAGTAAATAGTAGACTACGCTCCATCGACATTCAGCTTGGTCCACCCACGATTTGGAGGTTTCCACCCACGCTCAGCAGTGTGTAAACTAGCTCCTGAAAGGTTTTTTTTGGTATGTGTAAAATATGTTGAAAGTCACTTATAAATACTACCAGACGAGTATGTTCATAATAATTATAAAAGAAACTCGTACAACACCACTCCTTTGAAAAATCTTTTCCTGCCCAAGGCATCTAAACACAGAAGCGAAGGCTCTGCATTTTCACAATATTTCCCCAAGCTGACTTATGAATAAGCCTCCCTGTCTGCTCGTCTCTTCACACATATCAAAACTCAGAAGAAGAAGGCGATGAGGATATATGAAGGCGGGTCTGGTTCTGTTCCTGGTCGCCTTCTCTGCAACTGCGGAGGCTAGCTTCCATCCAATTACCTTCCTGGCGGAGATGTTTAGGGACAATAATTGTGAACCCAACTACTTGATCAAGTCCACCACCACGGCCTGCTGCACAAAGTCGAACCCTCCTCAATGCCAATGCAGAGACTTGGCAGAAACTTGCAACTCTGATTTTCTTGTAAGGTCTGCGTCTGCGCTTTCAGTGATCCTCCTCAGTGTCACTCTACTGATGCCACCAGCTTCTACTATCCTCCTTGCTTCTCTCAGATTGCAGCAGATTCATTCTCATCATTAATGGCTTTGCCTCTACTCTTTACGTACGTGAATGTGAACCTTCCCTTATAAACTATATATGCATATGCTTCCTGCTTGCTTTTTGATATTCTTCTATCACAATTATTTGCCATCTGTTTTCATTATACTTTGGCTTTGGTGGTTCGCTATTTAATTTATAATTTGTTTTCAATTTGATATTAAATAATCGAAAGGAAAGTAATATCCAAGGTGATCCACAAAGCTCAGCGTGCATGACTTTAATTTTTAAAACACCTTTAGACTTTCACTATTCGTGTCATAATCACATGAAACTGCCTGTTTCACTATCTTTTTATTCTCGTTAAGAGAAGCAAGGACATGTGCCATACTGATTTTAAAACACAATAGGGCTTTGTGAGCCATGATGGTACAGTCTACCATATATTTCTAACAAATGATTCCTTACTTAAAACAAATTCAAAGCACATACGACGAACAATGTGAATATTCCTAAACAATCAAATTTGCCCCCAACGCTCCATGTGACGAGGAAAGTTGACGACATAATTTGAACCGGCAATTAAGCATCGATCTAAGTACATGCTTGCCAAATTTCATCTTTAGAGCTACATTTTTGTTTTTATTGAGTGTCCGTGTCTCTATATTACATATATATATATATATATATATTTGAGAGAGGAAGATTTTCATCGGCCATGTCATCTATACCTTGTGTTCACCTAGAGGAAAGAGAAGTCAAGACAAACAAGACAACCTGTGTGCATATTATTTGCTAAGCACCTTGTCATCTATATATTCTCAAAAATAAATATGTAAATTGTAATAATATAATAAATACCATTTCCAGTTCATTACAATTCAATAACGCTCAACAATATATAATAATATATTCTTTTTTCAGATAAAAGCCCGGCCCTTTCCATTATCTAGAGCTTGCTGGGCATGTTTGATCTGTGTAGCAGTTGTAGATCACACTCCCAATTCTCATCTGCAACCTTCCTGAAGTATTGATTGACGCTCTCCTCGCTAACTTGCCCAAGCTTTGGAGGATCCCACTAATAAAACAGACATGAATAATTAAACAAATTAGTTTATATAACGTATATTGGTTATGAAAAATATTTTTTTTGAGAGAATCACTCAAATTCCGAAAACCGGAGGGAAATGAATAGGAGAGGCTATAGTTTACCTTGGGCTTGTTGTCTTTATCAAATATCTTTGCTCTTGTGCCCTGTGAAGAGAGCGCGTTACAGACAAAAAATTATTATAGTACAAGTAAGCAAGCAAATAAATAAATAATATATACTTATAAATACTGAACTTATTGCCATAAAGCCTATAAATTTATCGAAAATATATACTTATAATCGATCATCGTGTTTGTTATAGTGTTGACCTCGTAGAAATCGTTGCTGACAGTTCTTCGCGAGAAATGGCAGCAAATGTTGTGGTCTCGATTAAGGCATTGTTCAATGCTTTGTACTCCTCTCGCCTAATCACGTTCAAATCAATTCATTTCATTATCTGAAATCACAATAATTTGAGTTCCCTAGTTGCTTTCAACTTGCAATTAATATACTAATTATACTTATTACTTCGCGTACTTGCAGATCTAAGCCATATCTTGAGGCTTGTAGGACAAGATGCACTGTAACTTAATGCATCGGTGATCCACTTCTCTAATCCGTCAGTTTCTATTTCTTTTTCCTACGATCCAATTTTGATGTCATGTCACCCAAAAAAGATATTCTTAACTAAGTAATTCAGATTTGGAGAAAAATTAATCATCAAATAATAAAGCCGCATGAGACATACCAAGGACAGAATAATTTCCTCAACAGTTCCTTTTGAGAAGCATTTGTTAATTGTGTCTGTTAACTTTGGAGATTTGAGAGAAATAAGAAGAAGAAATATGGAAATCAAATGTATTATTCATGATAGAGCATATGTTCATACAATCACTGTAACCCACTTGGGTTAACACTAATCATCCCTTACATAAGGGTGATGAACAAACCCCATAACCTATGAGGATTCTTGAGGTGGGAGACCCAAGTTAACCCCCCCTTCTATGATGAAGACTACATTATCTCACACCCTTAATCCATGTACTAAGACCCTATTTATAGGCCTATCTCACTTAACTAATGACTCAATTATCCTCTCTCTAACATGCCCCCTCAAGTTGAGCACCCCTTAATTAACTGAAGTGATCAACTTGACAAACACAAACCAAGGAGGTGAAGAGAATAAAACCTTTCAACAATTTATTAAACAACATGATAACAAACCCTCAAACTTTGAGAGTAATACTTGAGGTGAGGACCATGTTACCCTCCCTCTTTTGGTGTGGAGACACTCTCCTAACACACCTATACATGAAGTGAACTTGCAATTTCAATAGCAAAACAACATGATGTCAGAGTACTCTTCCCAACATCCAATTTGTTGATTCTCTTCAGACGTGCTTGAATTTGCAGGTAGAGGAAATTGTTTTCAGGTATAGTCAGTCAGTCACTTGTTGATGTGCCCCCTGTGCATTGACTCATGCTCCTTTCAGATCAAAATTTCAAAAACAAATAATCACCAATCAAGCAACAAACGTCTACAAAGAAATAAGGAGGCTCAATCATAAAACCAATGCTTCGTCCATTGTGCTCATGCTGCCAAAGTCATTGAACTCTTGCCGAAGTCCATCGTCCCATGCCCAAACAGATGCACCAATCCAAACATGTTTTGTAGCTTTGTGAATACACGATTTCAACAAGTAAAAGGATACCCAACCAATATAAAGCTTTTATCAAGCAGCAATACAGAAAGCAAAGCCCCTACAAGATAAAAGTTGAAATCTTGACAATAATTCATATTTTTGTCTCTTCACAATACTCATCAGTTCTTTTCTTTTGAATCGCAATCAGCCATGCACTTGTCTTCTGTCAAACTAGTTTTCTTGTCACTCCCATTTATGCAAACTAAAGGTTGTAATAATACATATTGATGGGAGTCCCTTGCGACCAGCCTCCAACCATCATGAGTGAATAAACAAGAAAGCATTTGTTCTTGAGGAAATTGAATGCTAAAGGCATGATGATTCGGTTGTGATTGATTTCTCCAAGCGACAGAGTAAAGAGAAGACCCATTTGGGTGTCACAAATGAACTCTCACACCCCATCGTCTTCATTGACAGCCCCTGAGATTTCTCAGAGATGCCTCCCACTAGCCATGGCGACGAATACCCAGAATCTGTTTTGGATTGCCTCTTTCAAAGTGAAATCATTCTTCGAGGGAGATTTGTCTTTAACAGAAGATTCATTGGAAGCAATGTGAGTGTCTGGCATCGGCGACCAATGCACGGTCCTCCACACAAAATAACCCGCTAGAACGACGGAGGAAAAAGACCAAGATTACCTCAGAGGGCACATAGCTTCCTCCAAGGCCCCCAAGAAAGAGAAGTAGGTGGAGATTCTAGAGAAAGAAGTCCAATAATAATAGAGATAGAACCATGAACGTGGGCCGCTTAACGGCTTTGGTCTTCAAGACAAATCTTGATGGCGGGTGACAAACTTGTCTTTAATGGCGTGTCAACATTATTGCCGTCAGACATCCGACGACTCTCGACCATGACTCTGAGTTGAAGCTGGAATTCGAAACCCGAACTTGCAAGGTCGCAAAGAGCACTGCTAGAAAAATGTTGGACGGCAACGAATACGCAGGGTGACTCAGACATGCCATGCAATGGATAGCGACGTTGAATCAAGCCTTCACAGTGACAAATCCTATACTCCTCCGCAGACTCTGACGGTGGCAACAGGAAACAACAAGGTGACAGGGACCGTCTTGAAATGAAGCTGCGACCACGGCGAAACAAGAAAGCTAGGGTTTCCTCAAGCAATCCTCAAAACGCATCGTTGAAAATGTTGAATCCATTGGGCCGTTAAAACAGCTGGACTAGGAGCGGTGGCAAAACAAGAATCACTTTCTTGGGCTTTTGTAATTTTTTTTTTTGCCCAAAAGATGACCTGCTATGGATACCATGTTAACTTTGGAGATTTGAGAGAAATAAGAAGAAGAAATATGGAAATCAAATGTATTATTCATGATAGAGCATATGCTCATACAATCACTGTAACCCACTTGGGTTAACACTAATCATCCCTTACACAAGGGTGATGAACAAACCCCATAACCTATGAGGATTCTTGAGGTGGGAGACCCAAGTTAACCTCTCCCTTCTATGATGAAGACTACATTATCTCACACCCTTAATCCATGCACTAAGACCCTATTTATAGGCCTATCTCACTTAACTAATGACTCAATTATCCTCTCTCTAACAGTGTCCAATCTGTTTAGTTTGCTGATCGATATGAGATAAACAAGTGGAAGGCATAGCATATTAAAGCTAAGAGAAAACGTATGCATGCATATAATAATCAGAGAACATAATAACCAAGAAATTTATTACCTAGTAAGAGGGCCCCCTTCTTTCAAAACCGCTAATTCTCTAAATTTATCAATTGCTGCAGCAATTGTTGATTTATCTGATGTTGTTATAGATCGCAGGGCACCTTCCAGCAAGTTTAGTTTCTATTGCACGTACAAGCAAAGTGAGTAAATTTTCTTAATACATATATGAACGCACACATTAAGTTTCTCTCTTAAGGTTCAAGACCTTTTAGGCGTCTCATTTAATTTCCCTAATCTGGAAGGAGATAAACATATATGGAGATGGATGTTTGGTGGGCCCACTTGTGATGGAACCCATCAAACAATTGTCTTCACTTGTTTCCATCTGGAGGGTATTATTGGCATGGAGAAAATCCTAAATTATGTTGTGTAGAATGTAAGAGGTATATATATACCTTGGAAGGGACAAATGAGTAGCAAGGCCACGTTCAACCATTTCTGCTCCATTCAAATGCCTCCCAGTTAATCCCAAGTACTCGCCTATATATATTGCAGAATCAAAATCAGTACCAACTGATGTAAAATAAGTTGTTAAAAGTTAAGCCTTTCGTCCTAGTGTCATAAAAGTTTCATTTAGCTTCAAAAGCAAACGTTTTTATCCTATTTTATACAGAGATTCAAGTAAACATGTGGCATCCAAGTCAATGTTAATTCTACAAATTGTGGGTAGAGAGGATAACAGGAACAAAGTTAGATGCATATGTTTAAAAATTAGTGACCAAGATATCAACAATGTAACAACTAGCCGAAAAGATGGATAAACTACAATTCCAAAATGGCCAGGAAGCCTTGAGAAAAAGTAAATAGCACCCATATCTGGAAAATATCCTATAGATGCCCCCGGCATAACAAACACCTATGAAACAAATGATACTTCAGTTGTGATTTCATGTCAATTGTGAATTTTAATGTTGGGAAAAGAAAAGAAGACGAAACACAACATACAGCTTTTTCAGTGACAACCCTGAAGGTTCCGTTCATGGAGAGACCAGCTCCTGCTCCCATAACCATTCCATTCATCAGGGACACCTTCCATTATTAATTAATTAAACAATCATTCAATTCGTATTTCATTTCCATACTTAATTAAACAATGATTCTTAAAGCATAGAAAATAATTTGGGGATTGGGAAGCTCACCACAGGTTGTTTGTGGGTCGCTAGTAGGTAGCTGAGTGTGAGAAGTTTCTTGTAATGAAGCATAGCAAAAGACCAGTGCCCTGATTCTAATCAGCAGATACACATATATCAGCCCAATGTCTGAGTTTCAATGATGTCAAAGTGAAATTCTAATTATTATCTGTGTGCTGAAAATTTCCCTTTTAAGGTTCATTGTTTAATTTTTAAATTTTATTTATTGTTTATTTGTTTGAACTCTATACCTACAATGGAAGAAGTAACGATTGATACTAGATCACCACCGGAACAAAATGCTTTTCCATTAGCCTGCAATATATTGGGAGAAAAGAAAACAACCCTGCCACCACAACTTTTATTGACAATATTATATTGGTAGTATAATATACTAAGAAGTCAATAATATTTAACGAGAAAAAACACTGTATATATAGTTGCACTTGTATTTTGCGCTGCTCATTTACCTGCAAAATGACCAGTTTAACTGACGGGTCTTTCTCATGCAATGTCAAATTCTGCGTCATTTGAGAAATCTGGAAAAAAAAGAAGAAGAAAAAGATAAAACAATTATAACTGGTTATCCGTCAATTGTTTGTTTGCCAGAATATCTGTGAATATAAATATATACATGCAAATACATACATAATGTCTACGTGTGTGTATGATGGTTTGTAACTTCTCAAAAAAAAAAATGTTTTTGATCCCAAGCACTGACTACTGTTCTCCAAGATGTTTCCCATCACTTGAGCTTCTGTATGGAAAAAACTTTCAAGTTCATGGAAAGGAGGGGCATTTTATTAATTAAATTTAACCATCAATAGAATTATATATAAATATATATATATATATATATATTCGGCAACAGTGAAGACCAGATCGTTTGTCAAAGTTAAGAGATCTCAGTGAAGATTATGGAAGTGTTAAATCTACGATTCTGAGATTTATAATAGTTTATATAGAATTTAAGTAAAACAACGCACAATTAAAAGAAGAACAAAAAAGGAACATATGTAATCACTTGAAAGAGAAATTAGGGAAAGTAACCAACGTTTGAACTCACCAGGCCATTTCGTAATTAAGGCTATTCAGCTTGTAAGGCCTATTTAGTATCACTTCCTTCACACTCGGATTTCCGGCGAAAAGTACCTAAAAGAGCAAAGATATATAGCTATGCTCATGTAAGAGCCATAGTGCAGGAAATGATATATATATATATATATATTTACACACACACACACTTTATATATATATATATAGAGAGAGAGAGAGAGAGAGAGGAAGGAAATACCGGGTTTGTTTCTCTGACAAAGCTTAATCTCAGAGCCATAGTGCAGGAAATCATACACGAACTCTGAATTATAAGAAAGTGCAAACAAAGAAAGTTTACCAGAAAATTAAAGGAACTTAATGCTTGGTGTGTGTAAACGGGGCAACATGCAGCTTGCTGTGAGCCGGGAAACACATTGAATTGCCATTAACTAAGATGATCGATATTCTCTACATTGGTATTTAGCTCTAACTGACATAAATGATGACGTAACATTTTAGTTTAATTACAAAAATGTCACCACTCTTTTTTCTTTGTCGGTTTTAACTCCAGAAATAAAGATCCCTCTGAAAATACTGTCCACCAACTGCATCTAGCTAGTTACAAGATGTTAGCTAGTTTCATAAACTGTTTAATCTTTCAATATTTCCCAATCTCACTGAAGCTATCACGATCTGCGATTTCTTTCAAATATGGCTGGTCTTCCACAGGTCCTTCTAGAGACACCAAGGTACACACAAGGTCGTCTTTCAAATATTGTGTCTTTTCAAATATATATGTTGTCCTTGACACCGTGGATATATGTGCAGATTACAAGGGAAAGTAGCTTTGATCACAGGTGGTAGTAGGGGAATTGGAGCTTGCATAGCAAGGTTCTTCACTAGACATGGAGCAAAAGTGATAATCATAGACATTCGAGACGAACAAGGGCAAGAAGCAAAGTATGCAATGACATTGGACTGGAATATGCTTCGTATGTGCACTGCGATGTTTCAAACGAATCTGCTGTTGAAACTGCCATAAAAACTGTGATTTCTAAGCAGCAAAAGCTTGATATATTGATAAACAATGCTGTCATAATAGATGAAGCTAAGCAAAGCATTATTGATAACGAAGTGAGCGAATTTGAAGGCGTTCTTAGTTTGAACCTAACGGGTCCTTTCTTGGGAACCAAGCATGCTGCTAAAGTTATGATTCCTGAAAGAAACGGAAGCATAATAATGGTGGGAAGTGTTTGTTCAAGTGTAGGAGGGGTTACAACACACGCTTATACCAGTTCTAAGCATGGCTTGGTGGGTCTCACCAAGAACGCAGCCGCTGAGCTTGGGAAATATGGGATACGAGTTAACTGTTCGTCTCCGTGTTTTGTTGCAAACGAACCTGCAAAAGAGTATTTTAAACTACGTGATGAAGGTTGCTCTCGTGTTTATTCCAATCTGGAAGGGATATATCTGCGACAAGAAAAAGTTGCTTAAGCTGCGTTGTTCTTAATTGGCTAGTGATGAATCCAAGTACGTAAGTGGGCATAATCTGGCTATAGATGGAGGTTTTACTACTATTAATCCAATGTTTGGTTTGTTTTCACGATCTAAGTAGCAGTTCTGGGTTCATCTTTACAGTTTTTGTTTGTCATCCTGCATCTGTGTTTTAATGTCTGTGCGTGATAAGTTTTAGTGTTCATCAGTTTTACATGTCATTCTGCATTTGTGTTTTAATGTCTGCGTGTAATAAATTTTAGTGATGATCATTTCCGTTTAGTTTATAAAAGTCCTCAATTTCAATTTGTATCATTGTTCCATATAAAACGAAACTACATTACCGGCTCCATGTTGCTTAATTAAAGTGATGAAATGATTGTTGTTAGCAATCTAATAAAAGTGGGAAAAAAAAATCATGAATGTTTCCACCAACTAGTAAAGGTTAAAATAAGATCCAATGAGGTTTATAAAGTGTTTAGAGTGATTGGATTAGTTTTTACTATGCATGAGTTAGGCATATGAGAAAAATTATCTGACTGAAAATATATTTTTTTAAGTGCTTGTAAGGATTGCCAAATTCCCCTTTAATTAAAAACCTTAGAGAATTAAGCACATAATAAAAGTGTATTATTTATTTTAAGAAAACAAAATCCCTACGTACACTAATATCATGAATGTATCAAAAAGTTTGATTAAAATTATCTAGTCTTCAAAAAATCAGATTAGACCGGTTAGTTCAGATCGGAGATCAGTGAATTGGTCACTTGTGTGGTCTGATTCACCTCCTAAACCAAAAAAAATCAACTCGTTACAACCCATCTTGAACAAGAGTAAGTTAGAGAAAACTAGGATAACCCGCCAGTACACTGGGTTGCTTATGAGGAAGGAGAAGAGGGGGAGAGGGGGAGAGGAGGAAGAAAGCAAGAAGGAAGAAAAGTGACGGTCACCGTCATTCACATGCTGTGATAGTTTTTCTGTCATCACCATTCTCCTCTGGTAATAGCCGATCAGATCTTAAACGAGAACTCATGGAAGTTGCGAGAGAAATGGTTACCCGCACAATAAAGAAAAATGAAGACACAAATTGATGCTCGAGGAAGAAAGTCTAGCACTGTATAGCTTTTAGAGTGTTAAAGACTCGAGCCATAAAGTAAAAAAAAAAAGTTAAAAAGAATAAGGGAATAAGGATGGGTCACGTGAAGAAAATGAGAAAAATGTCAAAAGAAGAAAGAATTTATATTATATATCTTAAATAAGGTTAAATATTAACTTATTATATTTAAATATGAATTTTTTATATATTTTAATTAAATTAGATTATTTTAATAATTATCGGTTTAATTCTAATCTGATGTGCTAACTCTTAAATTACTGTCTCACATTCACTGCTTGATGGATTTTTTGAACCCTGATTCTCGATGAAGCTTTATTTTAATTAATAATTACGGATATCACATCAAAGGCGGTAGGGTAAGCGCTCTGGCCCGTACGAACTGAAAAAGAAATTAGCTTTTTATTGAAAAAGAAGCTTTATTTTGAATAACCTCGACTTCTACCAACACACAGGACTCAAATCTTACCTAACAAATATGAACAGCGTCGGCAACACTTGATTTTAATCTATACCTACTGTGGATTGAAATTAATTTTTTTTCCAAATCTTCCTCTCTTTACTTTTTGTTTTGTAAATGGTTTTATTTTATATGTATTGAATTGAATATATGCGGTTAAAATTTTTACAAATACACTTTTTTAAGACATAATTTTCATTAATTTAAAATTTCTTATTTTTATGTCCAAAGTGATTTTAGTGGTCAGAATATTGATATCAGATTTAAGTTTTAATATATTTTATTTTTAAAAAGGGTTAATACTATTTTATTTCCTGAAATTTGATCTCATTTTTTGTTTTCATACTTGAAATTTGAAACCCAGTTCTAAAACTCTTTAAACAAACCAATATGAAATCAAATTTAAAAACTAAAATCAAAACGACATTAAATTTTAAAAATCAAAATTACTAATTTTAAATTTTAGAGACTAAACATAATATTAGTCAGAGGACCCAATTCGGCCCAATTTCTAGCCTGGTCAAATTTAAAATTGAGCCTGGCTACCTAAAGTCATCAAAATGAATTTTCCTACTAGTGTTTGGAATGCTCAGAAAAAAATTTTAATGTAAATTGAGACAAAATTCTTCTCACATATATTATAAAATTATTTTTAAAATTATAATTTAGTTTTTATCAAAATACCTCCGTAATGTAACACACAGCAAAACCCAACCCGGTTTATAGACTAACACTAAGACACTAACTATTGTAGAATCAAAGCCCAATCTGGGTTGCTGTTGTTGGGTTAAAAGAGGCCCATATGAATTGGCAGGTCAAGCCAATGAATAAATGAATCAATTTTTTAACTGATCGGATCAAGAGTTTTGAACGAATCAGCCAATTGGATTTCCCCCCCCCCCTTCCCCCCCCCCTTCCCCCCTCCTTCCCTTTGTATGTAACACAATGTCAGATACGTGTTAAAAGCGTCACACTTACCATAATCTTCTAATTTAAAAATCATTAAAAAAAACAATTTTGAATATAATAATACATTATTAAAATGTTTGATATTGTTCAATTATTGTTGGTATATCAAAAAATTCTAAAATTAATTAAAAATAATAAATAGGTTAGAAGTATACTTTTGTTTTCAAATATGTCCTAATAATAAATAAAAAATTAAAAAAATGTATGAAAAAATGTATAAGAAAGAGTAGAGCAAATAAGAAAGAATAAATAATTAAGAATAAAATTAAAAAAATACATTAAATGTTAAGATAAATATAAATTTAAGCTTATAAAATATTTTACCGGTTCTAAATATAAAACTTATTTTGTAATATAATTATACCATAAAATCAAGTAAGTTTTATATTTAGAACCAGAAAAATAAATTACACCATTTCCTAAACCTAAGCCTATTAATAAGAGCCGATGGAGTACTTTATATTATACATTTTTTAATTCATTTTATTTTCTAAATTCACAATTTTCTTCTCAGAAATTGCACACGTTAAAGAGGTTTTGCAACATTTTATAGTATTCAATCGTTCATTCATTAAAAAAAAATAAACGGGAAGACTTGAAGTACCATTTTATGTTAAAAACACTGGCATTAATTTCAATATATGATTTCAGCTCATCACAAGTAGATACACAGATAACTCACCATCAAGTAGTGTAAAAATATATATAACAATATATTAAGAATGTTAAATCAAAATAAGCTTAGCCCTACTTTTAAAACCCTGATCACCATATATAATGGTTCCATTCATTCTTCAGCAAGTGTTGTTGGGTTACGTACGTGCTTATCTATCTTTTCCTAGAAGCACCACTGGATTGGCTTGTGATATAGGTTCGTAGAGAGGGAGATTGGGTGAGAACATCAGGAGCGATGGTGGTGTTCTGGGTTACGCTCTTCTGCTGCATTCTTCTCCTGGCTATGTAACCCCTCACCCACGGAGTCACATCCTCGTTGATCTTGATCATGATGAAGAAGATGATGCGGTATATGATGATCATGCTGAATATCACTAGCAGATCAATCCACTTTGATCTGTTTACGTCAATCTGGAACACATTCTCCAGGATGTACTCTCCCGGAATCTTGGGAAGATCCGGCGTCTGGTTGTCGAAGATCAATCCTTTCAGATCATTTTGGTATTGACCCTGAAATAACATATATAAAGTGATCTCATCGTTTAATTCTCTCATTATTAACTTAATCTATCATCAAAGCGTGCAT